GGTCCTTCTCTTCATTAAACTAGACATACCCAGTTCCTGCAACCATTCCTCATATGTTTTAGCTTCCAGTCCTATAATCATCTTGGTTGCTCTTCTCTGCACTCTTTCTAGAGTCTCCACATCTTTTTTACATTGTGGCGACCAGAACTAAAACTTTTCATCAGAGCCTTGTGACATGTTCACACGTGAAAACCATAGGACATGTCATACATGACCCGTTGAGAAAAAAAGAAGAGGCAATTAAAATATTGAAGCGGCTTCGGTATTTTAGATCTAACCATAACCCTAACCCTAACCGCTCTTTAGAAGGTCAGATCCTGAAGAGGAAACTCAACTGCTTTAGCCACCTAATGAGAAGGAAGGACTCCCTGGAGAAGAGCCTCATGCTGGGAACGATGGAGGGCAAAAGAAGGAGGAGATGACAGAGAATGAGGTGGCTGGATGGAGTCACTGAAGCAGTAAGCGTGAGCTTAAATGGATTCCAGAGGATGGTAGAGGATAGGAAGGCCTAGAGGAACGTTGTCCATGGGGGTCGCAATGGGCTGGATACAACTTAGTAACTAATAACAACAATAAAGTAAACTGACCCAGACAACGTACTTGTTCACTAAGGATTCATATATGTTAAAGAAAAAAAAAACATAAATAAAATCATTTAAAAAAAGGAAGAATGGAAGGGTATTTTCCCAGTTAATTTCTTTTTCTTTTTTTTTTATACCGAGCACCTGTGAAACAAAGCAAACTCAAGTTGCCTTTTGAAAAAGTAACTTGGGACTAAGGAGAGAAAGAAGGAATGGGCACTAAAAAACCGAACAATCCACGATTTCACAGTGGAAAACCTGGCCAGGTTACTTACTGCTTTTTTATCAGCTTGGTTACTGTCAAAGCCGGTCGTCAGATCTCTGACTCCAGAGACGGCAAATTTCCCACAGGATTTGGGGTAGGTATTTTCCCCCTCGTAATTCCGAAGTTTCTCAAACAGAGCTGTGATGACCTTCTGATCGTTACAGATAAAATAAGAAGACTTGGTGATATGATAACCGTATCTATATAAGAAGACAAAGGAAGAAAAACTTTGAACTATAGTCCAGCTACTGATAATACTCCAAAAGAGCACCTGTATAAACAAATCGTGCTCTTCCCACTGTTCCTTTCAGTAAACCAAGTCAAGTACTTTGAGATATAAAATATAAGTCAAAAGTTCATGGGAATTCGTGTTTCTAAGCCCCCAGCCTCTAGGTGGCAGTGTTACTTCTTTTTCTTTTACTTTTAGCCTTTTATTTGTTCTGAGCTTGAGAGAGAGAAAGATTTTAGAAGGTAAAATCCACCCGAATGTTACCAGAAAGAAAGAGATTCTTGCTCCACAAATACAAAAAGTAAGGAAAAATAGAAAAAAAAGGAAGAAAGAGATCAGTCCAATTTAAAAAGTAAGGCATTTGTAAGAATTCCATCCAAAAAAAGAAAACTAAATTAAGGAAAGAAAGATAACACTCTAATTTTAATACAGGCTTGATCCGCCGCTTACTCTCTTCTGTCTTCAATTTTAATTTTGCTCTAAGTCTTTTTGGGCATTCTCTTCTCCAATAGTAAAATTTATCCCACCAATTTCGACACACTCTCTCTCCTGCTCTGCTTTCCTTTCAGGGGTCTGTCCCAACATTGTGCAGCTTCAATGGCTGCTTCTCTTGTAGCCCGGAGGAAAGAGCTTCTCCTGGATCAATCAGAGGCTTTGCGATGCCCCCGAGATCAGCAGGACGAGCTCTTCTCTATCAACGTCTCTTCGGGACGGTTTAGGTCCAAAAAGGACCGTCCAGCAGCAGAGATATCAACAGCAATCCTGGAGCACCAAGATTGCATGTCGTGTTGTAGCGACATCAGCCCCGCCTCTCCCATTTTGATCACGTGATTTCTGGGAATGCTGCAATGGTCATAAGTATGAAAAATAAGTCCCCTTTTCCAGCACTGTTGTGACTACAAATGGCCACTGAATGAATTCCTTTAAGTCGAGGACTAGCTGTATCTTAAACATAAAAGAAAAAGCACTTGGTGTTTCGTTAAATTATACTCACTCTGTGTAAATGTTTTTCAGCTGTTGAGACAGAGTCACATTCTTCGTGGCCAGAAAGCTAGACATCTCTGCGGTTATGACTGCAGCACTCACGCCGTCTTTATCCAGTACGACAGGGCTGCACATATATCCTGAAAGTTTACAGGGAAAAAAATACCCCGAACCCTACTTGTAAAACTGCTCCGATACAAGTGATCAAATGCAAAAAGACACATAAAATAGTCATTACGACCAATTTTGGTCACCACACTTAAAAAATAAATAAATATGTTGAGTCTTTGGAAAAAGTGCAAAGAAGAGCAACTAAGATGAATTAAAGGCCCGGAGACTAAAACATATGAAGAGCGGTTGCAGGATTTTGGTCTCATTAGTCTAAAGAAAAAAAGGATTTGGGGCGACATGAGAGCAGTCTTCCAATATTTGAGGGGCTGCCCCAAAGAAGAGGGGTGTGTTTGTGTGTCAAATTCTTCTCCAAAGCACCAGAGGGCAGCACAAGGAACAATGGTTAGAAACTCATCAGAGAGAGAAGAAACCTAGAATTAAGGAGAAACTTCTTGACAGTGAGAACAATTAAAATATAGAATACTAGTGCTGATAACCCGGCGTTGCCAGGGTATTTATTTATAGGGGGGAAATGTCCGGAGCAAATGTAATTTCTAATGTTGGATTTTCCCCTTTCCCAGAAGGAGCCCCCCCTGTGGAGTACTGTGAAACCGTTACCATGGCAACTCCACTGCACTGTACAGTAAAGCCATTTTACGGCAGTACAGTAGAAGCCATTTTAAGGCACAACAGGCTGTATCGTAACAGAACACGCACCCCGGGGGATCTTACGGGTGTCTTACCCCCACAGTATTTGTTTCCAGAGGGTAAGTCATCTGTCTACCAAGTTTGGTTGAAATCGCCCGAGGTGTTCCAGAGTTATGCTGGAACATACATACTGTCAGGCCTGCAATTATATTCCTGTTAGGATCTTTGGCCTGCCACACTTTCCCTTATTTCATTATGCTATTTCATTAGTATAGTTGATGGGAGGGGGGAATAGACAGGAGTAGGATTGTGGAATGTGTTGTTGTCATTCTTTTCTAGAAGCCCAAGGTCATTTTTCTCTCCGCACTTTTACACCTGACTGGAAGCAGATGGATGGAGACACTAGCGTGGAAGAAGAAGATTGGACCATGTGATGGATTGTGGGTGTGGGGACAAGATCATGAACTTTTAACTGGGTGGGATTCTGATGTAATTTCCAGTATTGGGATTTCATAGCATGATGCCAAGAAGTCTGAAATATTAAATTGGAACTTTAAGAATCGTATTGCGTTGGACTCTGATTTAATTCTACATGATACTTGGAACGCTG